GGAACTGGTTGCGAAATTGGAAGCACCGGTGGCGACAGGGCTCGGTTCGGAGCGGCGGGAACCAGCCGGCGGTTACTGTAGCTAGGAGATGGAGTGAGTTGTTTGTGGGGAAAGAGAAGAAGGGGACAGGAAATGGGCGGTGGCGGTTTCTGAAGGAGGTTTGAAATGCTGCTCTGCTGTGGCCACTTTCAGACCAACAAGAGTCAAGTCAGAGTGACAGTGTAATATAGCTGACGTCTGAGGGGCCGATCCGCTACACGACACGTGGAATTTTAAATTCTTGAACTTTGTTTTTTTTTTTTTTTTTGGAAAATGTAGAATGATATTTCATTTTTGGCTTTTACGTTCCACCTCTTCAATATAGCTGTAAACGGTAATACATTTTGACTTGTTTAACTATCAATTACGTAACCTTCAATCTTACATAGATTAGAAATGGAGAAGTTTTGATCTTTATGGGTTCTCTATGTTACACTTACGTGCTTTACACAAAGATCTTATCACTTTTATCGGACGATCGTAAACTTTAATAAATATTTAACCATAAATGTAATAACTGTCAAAATTTGTATTCTTAAATCTGAATTATATGACACTGGTAGGCTATGTAAACTTGGGAGAGCACTCACTTGTTCTAATGACAATGACACAAAAGATTAAAAGTGTGCTAGCATCAATTCAACCTGAACGATTTATCTATTTTTTATGTGTTAACAATTAGCAATGGACGAACCACTGGGTTTAAATCTATGAATATTTGGTGGTGATTAGTATCCATATCACATACCAATAATGATGATAATACTAAAAACAATATCATTACTTTGGTGACAATAAGTCTAATCTAAGATTACCCAATACTTGAATGTCATTATTGAATGTTACAACACACACATGATGATACCACTCATCGAACAAAATAATACACATACATGATGACACAGAGAAGAGCTGGAAAATGGATGTTACTGTTAGTTAACTTAATAGCATCATGCCTAACAGTAAGAGGTGGACCAGGTTCAATATTTTGAGAAGAACTCGCGAGCATCATGGTACTGCCTAGACACTACATTGTACAGCGGGTGTATGGGCTCTAAGAGGTTGGAATAAGGTCCCAGCACAGATGTCGGCAATGGCGGCGAGTTCTCGTTCTTCGACCGGCTGTACTGGCACACTGACAGCCCGCTTAAGCAGTAGCAAGTGTGGTAATAGTCCCTGGCCTTCCCTGGTTTGTCCCTGAACCCTCCCTCTTGTTCCTGCAGTTCACAACAAAGGCCAGATCTATCAAAAAACACTCAGAAAGTAAAGTTTGAGGCACGAAGCAGATTCTGTGGTAGATTTGTATAGGTGGATAGTATTCGTAGTCCAAGTAATACATCGTTTTAACAAATACGTCCACCTACTATGATGTTTAACAGACACGTCCTGTGTACTATCTTGTTATATTCCAAGGGTATATGTATTACTATACCTGGGAACACAGGACAATGTACTGCTGCAAGGCCATATTATGAAATAGAGGTCCCAGCTGATTGTGTCTTGAATGCTGAATGTGAACCGCTGTGCTGTTCTCAGGTGAATGAGAAGAGCTTTGATGGCCTGAAGAAAAATTAGAAACGTGAGAAGTGAGCTTGCGAGATGAAATGGAGCTAAGAAGAGCAACGAGATTAGGAAGGAAGGGATTATCACTTACCTTCCTGGTTCTGCTCAGGGTGGAAAGCTCCATTATCATCTGATGAATCCCTATCTTCGTCATCTCCTTCAGAAGTACTATCTGAAACCCACTCTACTTCAACATCAGAAGTCCCAAAGCCTTCCCCGCCAAATGCTTGCAGTCTTTGCAGCAGTGCAAATACACCTCCCTGAACAACTTATTTCAATAAGTCACGCCATGAGGAACAAGGTTCACTACAGCAGTGGGAATGGGGGGGACAGAAATAGCAGTACCTGCCAGAAGGAGTAACAGCCATCAACCAACTTGTTCGTTCTGCCTTGAAACCCACATTCCACTCCTTGTCGAAAGGCTACCCAATCCTAATGCAAAAGAAACAAAGCAGTCAGACAGTTGTTGAAGAAGAAAAATATGCAAAACAAACATAAACATAATTTTCTTACAATTAAACTAGCCAAGTCCAAACGATTGGCTTGGTTGATGAGAATCATAGCAGCCAATCCACAGAACGTGTACCTGAATATCAACCCTTGAAATTTAAGGAGGGTTTGTTCAATGAGAAAGCAACTAACTCATGCTTGCAAATACAGAGACGGGAGCAAGTATCATTCTCCAAAATTGTTAGCTATTTTGGGACGAACAAATTAGGAAGAAAGAAACCTACCCTCCATGAGCTTCAGAACCAGGTTCCCCCGCAATACCACCTTCATAAGTCTGACAACTGTAAGACACCAGAAAAATAAAAGGGTTTCAATCCTTCTGTCCTCATAAAGCACTAATGTAGTAGATTTTCCTATTAAAATGGGACACTTTCTGGTTATAGAACTTATTTGTATCATCAATTTGAAAGAGTTATGCAATATGAGGACCATATACAAACCTCAAGATATAATTTGCAACGCCCTTGGCCAGCTCATCATCCAAAATGTTCAGAATGCTTGCGACCTGGACAAATTTGGTAACATGAGATGATTATGCATTTGAGAGGGTTCATGCAGAATCAAGACAACCACAAATTCCAGCTTAAGAGTGATTTCATTCCGTACAATTAAGTTATTCACATGTAACTACATGCTTTACCAATTACACCAACATAGAAGAGCTGCCTTACCGAAATTGCAGTGTAGCAAGCTCTTACATCAATTTCCCCAGCATCATGCATCCTGAAAAGAAGAACAGGTCAAGTCATGTTTATATCAGAAAACACTCAATGTCCACATGATTTCCACTAATCATATGACAAAGAACCTGCAGTGCCATATCACACAACATATGGTAGGCATTATAGCATAGGATGGATAAACGAATGTGAGGAATGCATTTAATGGAAGGGACAACATGGCAAAGAATGGATGGAAACCAGCCTGGACAGAAATGAATTTAATTTTCACCTAATATGGGAAGGAATCAGCAAGTTACTAGCAGTTACAGGAACATTGCACAAGGAGTTTGAATATGAAAGCAGCTGAACCAATCAGGGAAATGTAGGGAGATGCAGAACTTATAAAATGAAGAAGTACCAGAAGAATATTAACTAAGAACATCAGCACATGGTGCAACAATTTCAATAGCAGAACATGAAATTAATTTTCTTAGCCTTGATATTCTTGTATTAGATAATTCAAGTAAAGAGTTCCACATACAAGAACGACATGAACTCAGCAACAAACAAGATGCGGGCAAGAACAAAGAAGAATCGAAGGAGAAGAGAGCAAATAAGAAAAAGTGTCACCTGAAGGCTCCACTTGAGTCTTTCATTCGGCTTAAGAATTTGTACAAATTATCTCTGGGAACAACAATGGATAACAATGTTAAGAAAGGTTTTCAAATCACAGATCCACTATCAAAGGGTGAACTCTTCACAATCATAAAGACTGACCACCTATTAATTGACGACAACGCTTTATGTCCGCCCAAAGTGACAAGAGAATTGACTGCAGCATATGTTGTTGCAAGATGAGGCATCTGAAGACAAAGAAAAGGGACTAAGAACATAAGTACATAAGTAAACACAAAACCGCAACCATTCTCCTACTGATCCTGTAAAGTGCAAATGTTTCAGCAACTTGCCTGCCCTGGTCCACCCCCATAGCCACCATTTGGATCCTATCCCCCAAAAGATACGATCACTCGTCAAAAATAAGTTAAGGTAGAACAAGGATATCAGCTGAACTGCAGAATAGCCAATCGATAAATGACTAATAACTCTCTAACAAAACAAACTAAAGACCACGGTGTTGTGTATAAATGAAGCAAAAAATCAAGGACTTTATCTCGAATTTTAACATCTCCTCAATTGGGTTTGACCAGGAACTCTCGCTACAAGCCCACATTCCCAGAGGATAAAAGGAAAGCACTAAATACCATCAAATTTTTAACATAATAATTTGGTTTCTAGTCAGTAAGCACTAGAAGATGTTTACCTGACAACGGCTAAGAAAGTCGATGGCATTATCCTCCAATTCATCATCAACTGATTCCCCAAGTAGAGCAATTGAGTGCAAGATCCAGTAGCAAAGCCAAGGTCGACTGCACTCATACAACACAACTTTCAGAATCGAAGCAGTCGAAGCTGAACTACACCAAACGAAACAATCATCAAGAATTAAAGCTACACAAGAAGAAGGAAGAAGTACGCACTTAGCATCCAATACAACGAATGAGGGACCGAGCTGCTGGAGTCCTCTGGTTAGATACTCTACATGTTTATCTCGTTGAAGCTCCAATCTACCAAAGAATCAACTAGTAATTCCATCAAAATCCAAAGCTAAAGCAGCAAGCAGTCCAAATAAGAGCGATGGATAAAGCACATCCGTCTTACATTACAGATTGAGCGCTGCGAGGAATGCTGGCGAAAGCGCCGTAAATCTTAAACACGTGATCCTGAACAGCCCACTGATCCACCTGGCTCGCCGTCGCCCTTCTTTGTCTCTCCGTCGCCGTCCCTTCCCTCTCCATAACGCCGACGATGGTAGCAGAATAGTTCAAAACGGGAGGTTTTTGCTTACTATACCGGGTTTAGTATTTCGATTCCCTCCCGCCGTAAGGAAAGGCAGAAAAGATATAGCCAGCTAATCGGCGGCGAGACTTACCAAACTGATGTATTTTCCCGTGGGCCCTAATAACTTAATATTGGGCCTAGCCCATCGTCGAAAGGTTTTTGGGCTATTGGCCGGGCTTCAGAGTCCACACTAATGTGCCACGCAAGCAGAGCAGATCGGACCGTGAAAAGATATGTCATACAGTCCGGCCGCCGCAAGTCGGGTAACGGGTGACCCGCCACCAGGACAGGAGGCAAAGACAAATTGGCCACGTCTTCGCATAATAAGTACGCCCCCAGAAATTAGCTCCGCTAGAATCATCAGAGAAAGAAATGGCGATGATGAATCTGAAGCGAGCTGCAACCTCTGCAATTCGAGCTTTCCCGGCGGCTGGTTCTTCCACCGGAGCTCTGGCTAGACACCTCCACGTAAGCATGCGCCGCCCACTCTTTTGGCTTCTTCTTCATCCGCCACTGTTTTCTGCACTCTTCTCTCCCAAGTCCCAACCCCTTTAGTTTTATCGCCGTTGATCGTATATAAACGGCAACCTCCGTCTTTCTTCTACCACCGATCGCCGCGGTTTTCCACCTCCGGTAGATTTCCCCGAGCTGGGCCGTACAGGTGGCAGTTGAGTAGTAAATGTGCGCTGCGTTTTTCCTTAATTACTTTTTTACTGGTTGAATCGTCAGGCGGCGTAACTCACGAGTCACGCCTACTCTTCACTCGTTCACTGACTCGCTCGCTTGACGAGTTATAAGAACTCGTGAGCTCGTAAGCTGGCCTTTACATTCAACTGTGCATTTGTGCGAATTTCGTTACTCCCCCTTGAAAATTGATATGTTTCGATTCTCATGAGATGGAAGGAACAATTGTGAATTCAGGGTTCTGCGGGGGAGAGCAAGAAGATCGTCGGAGTGTTCTACAAGGCCAACGAGTACGCCGAGAAGAACCCCAATTTCCTGGGCTGCGCCGAGAATGCTTTGGGGATACGGAGCTGGCTGGAATCTCAGGGCCACCAGTACATCGTCACCGACGACAAAGATGGACCCAACTCCGGTGAGTATGCAGTAAGAAGAAAACAACAAAAAAACACTCCATTTGATTTGCTTGCAGAATCCCTAGTTGACTAGCAGGTGTTTGATGATTTAACAGAGCTGGAGAAGCACATCCCTGATCTCCACGTTCTCATATCAACCCCTTTCCACCCTGCCTACGTGACGGCTGAGAGGATCAAGAAGGCCAAAAACTTGCAGCTGCTTCTCACCGCGGGAATTGGGTCCGACCACATCGACCTGCCGGCAGCTGCTGCCGCCGGTTTGACTGTTGCAGAGGTCACGGGGAGCAATGTGGTCTCCGTTGCTGAGGATGAGCTGATGAGGATTCTCATCCTGATGAGGAACTTCTTGCCTGGTTATCACCAGGTGATCAATGGGGAGTGGGATGTGGCTGGTATAGCTTACAGGGCTTATGATCTTGAAGGGAAGACGATTGGGACGGTTGGGTGTGGACGAATTGGGAAGCTTTTGCTCCAGAGGCTCAAACCTTTTGGCTGTAATCTGCTTTACCATGATCGACTCAAGATAGAACCCGAGCTGGAGTCACAGATCGGAGCTAAGTTTGAGGAGGATCTTGATGCCATGCTTCCAAAGTGTGATGTAGTTGTCATTAATACCCCACTTACTGAGAAAACCAAGTGAGTGCTTGCAGTTTGGATCGAGCTTTGCAAATTGCAGTTCTTTCAATACAGGGTTGATCTGTAAGTTTTGTGCTATCATGAACTGGATTGAATGTCTTTGTGTTGCAGGGGAATGTTCGACAAAGATAGGATCTCCAAGATGAAGAAAGGGGTTCTGATTGTGAATAATGCTCGTGGAGCTATAATGGATACACAAGCAGTTGTTGATGGCTGCTCCAGTGGACAGATTGGAGGTACCTCTGTAGATTCCTGGAACTAACTCAGTAACCAATAATGTTTGCAAGTTCATACAAGCTTACGCCGTGTGAACCTTTTGAATATGAGCAGGGTACAGTGGGGATGTTTGGTATCCACAGCCAGCTCCAAAGGACCATCCTTGGCGTTACATGCCAAACCAGGCAATGACTCCTCATATATCTGGCACCACCATTGATGCACAGGTGAGCTCTTTCTGGTTCGAAGCTCTGTGTGATTGTTTCTGTTTCATTTTCCAACTGAATTTTACTGGCGAGTCTAATCGCAATCTGGAAAATTGGCAGTTGAGGTATGCTGCTGGAGTGAAGGATATGCTGGACAGATACTTCAAGGGAGAAGATTTCCCCGCACAGAATTACATAGTCAAGGAAGGCCAGCTTGCAAGCCAGTACAAGTGACCTCGCTTCCAATGTTTATTCTGCATCGAGAATAATAATGTGGCTCTAAGTATGGTAGAGTTCAACTTGTAATCCTTAGGCTATGTAATGGAAGACAATCTCTGCATAGGTCTAAATAAACTTAACCGTTAAACAGAGAGAACCTTCTGATGAAAAAGATTTTGTCTTTGGAAACTGGATGGTGAATTGGTGATAAATGTGTATACCTTACTGATGGTTTACATTTCGCCAGCAACAATCATTCAGCTATTCGCAACCTGGTTCCGGTACATTCGATTCCAAGTAACAAGCAGAGATCGAAGTTCTTTAGGGACCTATATTATCTTCAATCCACTGCAATCTGCCCCGGCATCCAGAGAAGGGAATGTACACGTCGACATGCTCAATCAAGAACTCTCATCATCCACACTTGCAAATGATTTTCAACTATCATTGTTCTGCTGAAGGAACTGGAGATCTTTCATTTGCAATTGAACAGCTTCTTTGGTCAGCTGTTTGGCCTCTGGGACATCCATCCCATCCAAACCTTCAGCAACTCTTGTTGCTTTCTCTTCAAGAATCCTCTCGATCTCTTTTGGCTTAACCAATGGGAAAACCGCCGCCATCATTACACTGAGAAGTCTCTGATCTTCCTCTTCTATAGGATCCTTCCCAAAGCAACAAACATAAATTGCATCTAACGCCTTCTCTGCTCGGGCCTCCATCGGAACAAAAGGCGCTGCCCCTTTCGACTTTGATCGTCTCTACAGTTTCACAATGTGCAGCAAAAAGATTTAGTCCAGGTGAGTTATAACTAACTAACAGATTCCAGTTCTATTGTTTCTGAAGGTCTGAGTCTTACCTCTTTCGCCGCATCCATCAAAGCAATGAAACTCTGCTCTTCGAATTCAATATCGGTGGAAATCCGAAGTCTTGCTACCCCTTCCAAAATCTCTTCAGATTTCAGGAGCCCTGCACCTACAGCCGCCACCCAACAGCAAAGCAGAACATATAGAGGATCCCCTGCCTACAAGGACGAGAAAACACTTGAATCAAATTTCATTGCCGCAAATGATCGAACACCAGACGGGCAAGCAGAATTACCTTGCCGCGCCTGTCCTTAAACTCGACAAAAGCTCTGGAGTCCATAATGGTGCATTTCTTGCCGACCCTCCTTCTGAACTCCGCGAAATCGATGAGGTCGCTTCCGACTCCGCCTTCGTCGCTGATAATTCTGGCTATGAGACCGACAACGGGGAGGGAACCGATGACTTTGTTGGCGAAGCCGGAGATGGAGTTGGGGTTCTCCATGTAAGCTCTGACGGAGAGTAATCCATTCGAATTCTGCGAGTGCCGAATTCTGGGTACTGCGTAGTTTACGAAGATTCTGTGCTGGAAGCTTTGCAGTAATGGCGAAATGGAAGATAGGGATGAAGGAGGTGATGTCGGAGTAGTCACCACCATGGCTGTGAAAGCATATGTGGCGGGTTGATCTTTGATTTCCCCGTGGTTTATCGGCCGCACGTTTATATACGTTATCCACAACAAGGAATAGCAGTTATAGGCTCATGGGCCGAGTTTTTTAATTGGGTTTGGCCCGTGAGACCGAAGTTGGTAATTCTCCAGCGCGCCCTGATAAAATAATTGTTTTCACTTTTTAGTGCCATATTCCTTCTTTTTTTTCTTTTGTCATATCTCATATGGTGCCTAAATCCATTATATTAATTGAATCGGGATATAAATATCTCATCATGGCCATATCCCTATGTAGAACATATTTTCAAGTCAAATTTTTGAACTAGTGTAAGATTTCAATTCCCATATAACACAATGCTCAAAAATTGAATCCATTCCCATAAACTCATTAGACATACAACAAAATTAGTATAAATCAGACATAGGTTAGCCTATATATATACATGGTGGCATTTTCGGTGCACCCACTTTGTTGGGTACATTTAATGCACTCGCCTCATAATCGTCATTCTTAGCAGGTGATTCAAGTGAAACAATGTCAATCGTCACTGTAGTATGATGGACAAGACACACATGAATTTGTACAAAAATCATTCAAGATTTACTTTAATTCGAATGATTTAGGGTTTATGAATTTAGGGTTAGGGTTTAGGTTTACGATATGGGGTTTTGGGTTGGGATCCAAAATTGAGGGTTAAGGGGTTAGAGTAATGGATTGATTAGTTGTGATTCTATGTTATTTTATCATATTAGACTAATGTTATCAATTACAAGTTCAAATTTGTTGTATTATGCCCACTTTTAGAGTTGGGTGCATTTAGTGCACCCAAAAAAGTGAGTGCACTGAAGTAACACATAAAAGGTTCAAAAGTATCTTCTTATTAATAATAGGTTTAATTCATCTGCATAGCCATAACTTTCACGATTTTGACAAATATAGCCACTTTTCGAAAAATACACAGATATAGCCAAACTTCTAAAACTAGTATGACAAATTTAGCCATTTCCTTTAAAAACAGTAACGTCGTTAGTGATTCCGTCAATAACGTAAGCATTATACTGATGTGGATGCCACATCAGCCTCCATATCAGCTCTTGCTCGCCACGTCATATTTAAATTTTAAAATAAAAATTAGAGAGTGGGAAGCATCTTCTTTTTTATGGAGTGGGATGCCCAGATTTACTTCTCCGATAAATGATCTTCGATCCAACATGGTGCAGAGAACTCTCTGTTATTAATCGATTTCTTTTTACTTTCGAGTTTAAGGAGTGGGAAGCATCTTCTTGACTCAACTTCCTTCTTGCCTCGTCCCTCCTTCCAATGAAATCAATTGCTTTGAGTCTTCCTCGGAAACCCGATATCCCCCAAGCTCGACCACCACCATTACTCCTCCCACTCTGCCGCCTCGCTTCACCTTGGGTCGTCTCGCCTCCCAATCAATTCCAATCTGACCCGACCAGAAGACTCTCTTCATCCTATGAATCTACATATCTGGCACTATCTGGTGGTTGGAGAACAAGGCTTGATTGCATCTTGTTGCTGAGTACGAATAAGCAGATTGTTTGTTGCGCAGTGTGAAATCGTCCTGCCTAGGAGGAAAGTTGAGCCAGCACATCGAGGAACTCAAGCATTCAAATCCTCTACTTCTATCTGGCCTTTTTAATTGCCATCGGGGAAGGTACAGTTGCGCCTCCAAAATCGTCTCCGCGTCATAATCGCTGGTGGAAAGTCTACGGCAGAGGGCGGCGGGGCTTAGTAATCGGAGAAGATAAAGGAGATGAAGAGAGACAACATAATTTGCCCAAATCTCCAATTTCGGCTGCAAAAACTGATGGAGAACGAGTTGTGGCCGAATTTCCAAGTTTCATCAGCGTCGATTGGATTCGGGATATGGATTCTTGGTCTCCTGTTTGCATATTTCCGATTGAGTTTTGGGGCTAGGGATATGAGGATTTTAAGGTTTGGGAATTATGTGGGGAAGTTTTATTTGATGGTTGCCTTTCAATGGCGGAGAAGCAGCAGCACAAGAAGAAGATGGATGGGTGTGGTGTGGAGTGGGGTGGGGTGGGACGGAAGGAGAGGATACGAGGGTGTGGTGTGGTAGGTGAAAGGGTAAAGTAGCTTTTTGTTTTTTTTTTAATTAATGAAATTTAAAATATATTCCACCTGGCATTGCCACGTCAATGAAAAATTACCACGTCACCAACAATCATTTGTCCAGTCAGCAGTCGTGATAGTGTCGTTAAACTTTTGGACGGAATGGTTATATCTGTGTATTTTTTGAAATGTGGCTATATTTGTCAAAATCGTGAAAGTTATGGCTATGCAGGTGAATTAAACCTTAATAATATAATAACTATTACAAACTAAATGAGCGATACAAAACTACAAAAAGGTAACATTATATCGCTTTAGAATCATGTTGTTATCTCAATAGTATCAACGTATTTGAAAATCTTGTACGCTCGTATGGGATATTGATAATATCTTACTGCAATTTTAAATAAAAGAAAAACCGATCAACAAATGAATAAGATTATCAAAACTTCAATATCATGAAGTAGTAGCATTTGAGTCCAACCGTCATGTGATTAGCATCATCACATGTGAGCTAATCAACCCTCTAGAATGAGAAAGTTGACGAAAAACAAGAACGATAATCAATTGATGGTGTCAGTGAGATGATGAATAACAAGACCGAAATGTTTGTTGCGTGAGAACTATTTTCCTCCTTATTAACATCTTCATTTCCTATGTGTTGTAACCATGGTTTGTGAAACCGTACCATACTTGTGGTTCAACCGCAAAATACAAGTCCTGTAGTTAAATTGGTAGGCGGTATTTAATGACATTAACGGTTGAAATACGGTTAAACCACGAGTTCACTGTAAAATTTACCCTACCATTGATTTTTCTAGTACAATCTCCAGTACGGTTTCACAAACCATGGTTGTAACTGAACATGAAACCCACGATGCTAAAAATTAAATAAAAATACACAAATTTTTGTGGTTCACTGACACGATGTGTGATAACTACTCTACGGATCAAAGAGATCAACTTCACTATATTTGAGGAAATTACATGCTATAGAGTGATGAGAAGATATATATCACATTCTTTAAACCCTAAACAAAACATCCAAATCCTAATTCGAAATGGAATGAAAAAGACTACCGAATAAGAACAAAATCGAAAACATATATATGTATATATAAACATAGCAACACAATGCAGCCTTGAAATAAACCGCAGCAGATTGCCCATAGCATTCCTCCCAATTGCAAGCTTCTGGCACAGAACCAACTTGGTAAATTAATGGCATCGGAATAAGTCCATATGATCATAAGGAAAAGGAAGAAGAAATGTGTAAGTTTGGAAGAAGGATAAGATAGAAGAGAAGGGAGCACTGAAGAAGAAGAAGTGGCTAGGGAAGAAGGAACATACGATTAAAGTCCATGTGCCCACATGCCCTGACTGCCTCATACCCATACGTCCCCTTCCTTCAATGCCATCAATAAAAGCTCTTAAGACCCGCCTCCTAAAACCCCAACTCGCCGGACTTTTATTGGGGTGAAAGTTGAAGCGAAAAATTATTAGAAAATACAGATTTAAGAATATGAAATTCAACAACTTATAATAATTCAAAAAAAAAAAAGCATATAATGATGAAGTTCACCAAGAGTCGCATATATCTCGTATGTACCTTAGTAAAAAAAATAATGATTATAATTTTTTACAATGTAAATTGTACACGACGGTATTTTAATTTAGCGAATGCATTAATAATGGAGTCCACGTCCATATCAATAGTATACACTGTTTCAAATAAAATACTTGAGCAATCGACTAGAAATCCATCGTTCATTTTGTTGTGCAAATCAATTTTCACATGCTTCGTTGTTGAAAAGGTTCTATTCGTATTAGTTGTTGAAACAAGCAGCATCAACACTCGACAAATCAATCTACTAATCAATTTGCATTGTGTTTCCATCCCTATATCCACCAGCTATTCTAGTAAATTTTCCAAGGTAACAAACCTCATATATGTTTTAGTCTTTTACGTTTTAAACTTTTTGAATTTTTAGGTTTCATTATTTTTTTAGACGAATAACCTTTGGGGTTAGAATTTATAAGCTAAATTTAGAGTAGTGATTTTGAATATGTTCATCTGAATTATTTTTCTAATTATACCCAATCTTATTTTAAAATAACAACGACCCGAATATCTAAAATCGAAAAATTCATAAAACGTATACTAACTATGGATCCAGAGGAGGGCTGGGCCGGGGCCCGGGGTGGCCACCCCCTGGATCCGCCACTAATTCGAATGAGATTAGTTAAGCAAACATACACTCGAAGGTTTGGATATGTGAGATTATAATACCCAACAAAAAGGAAGAAACTAACCGCAATTACAATCGATCGACACTCGAGTTCGGTGTGAAATGTTTGTGTTTAAAACCCTCCTAAATGATAGTTCCAAGTCTCCTAATAAAGTATGTGGTTGACTTAGCCTTCCCCGATGAATAATTTAAAAAGCTGGAATGTGTATACATTATGATACGATACAATATTATACCATGTTTTGAATTTGCATGAAATCGTTAACCGAAAAAAACCAACGAAGTTTAAATTGTACAACACATAAAGTAAAGGGCAGTTAGTGGCATTACTATGATGTCCTCCTCGATCCATTGTGGCATAGTATATACGGATCCAGCATATAAATAGCAACACGGACACCCACCACCACACCACACCAGTCTTCTTCCATCCATCTTCCTTCCTCTGCTTTCTCTTTCCCCATTTATTCATTGATGTCTCTCAACTTCCTTCCATCACCAGAACAACAAGAAATAAGGAGAAACACAGAAGAACTCTGAGAAAAGCCACACACAGAACAGAGGAGAGAAACAGAACAAGTGATGAGAGCCATGAAGGAGAAGAGCGAGAGTGGTGGCGGTGGAGGGTATGTGAGAGCTGATCAGATAGACCTCAAGAGCCTCGACGAGCAGCTGCAGCGACATCTCTCTCGCGCATGGACTACGGATCAGAAGAACAATTCTGCCTCCACCAGGTCCGAGGGTGGCAGCGGATTGCTTCATCCACCTCTTCCTCCTCTGCCTCTCACCTCCTCTGCCTCTGCCTCTGCCACCTTCAACTCTGCCGCCGCCATCCCCGCCGTGGTAACTGGGCGGAGGCCCGAATGGGAGATTGACCCGGCCAAGCTCATCATTAAGTCCGTCATCGCTCGTGGCACCTTCGGCACCGTCCACCGTGGCATTTACGACGGCCTCGATGTTGCTGGTCAGTATATTATATTATCACTCTGTCACTACTCTTTTTTGGCTCACTATTTCTTCATTTACCCTGTCCATTTTAATTAAATTCAGTTCTGAATGATCATGATGATATTATCAAGATAGCTTCTAGATTAGCAGGAACAAGGCGATGTGGTAACTTCAAAAAGTCCCAAGTTGACGTCTTTAGGCTTTAGGGAAGTGGTAATTGCTCACGAACTACTGATTTAGCGATACCGATGGTCGGTTTGAATTTCATGTTATTAGTTTTTCGTGTATGATCAATCAATTAACAAACTACTCCAATCTCCCCTTGTAAATTACACTAGGAAATGTGTGCTCGGTAGAGGATTAATTATCATAGCCCCTTCCCGTGAGCCATGATTTTCCTTTTTCTCGGCAGCCAAACAGGGGAACAGCTTTTCCTCTGGCATTATCCAGATGAATACTGTTACAGAATCCGTGATTTTTTTTTTTCACGAGATCATCGACGGGTTTCCCAAGCTTTTTATAGATTAACATTTCTTCTGGGTACCCTTTTTTCATGAAAAAGTTTCAAACTTTTCGGCTTTTAGTAATAAAAAAATTCACTTTTTTCTGTTGGATAAAAAAGAGTTATAATAATTGAACTCAACTCACTCTCGTTGTGGTTGGTTGGGTTGGGCAGTGAAGCTGCTAGATTGGGGAGAAGAAGGTCACAGATCAGATGCAGAAATTGCATCACTAAGGGCTGCTTTTACTCAAGAAGTAGCTGTCTGGCACAAGCTTGATCACCCCAATGTCACCAAGGTACTTTTCTTACTTACTCGACATTGTTCGTGTTTTTGTGATACCATATCGTCGGTATAGGTTAATGGCACATACCAACAACCATGTTGATACTATTTTATAATGTTTCATGCACGATTTTGCTAAACGGTTAATATCAGCGAGTTTGATTTTCGATTTGGTCGACAAACATGTGCAGTTCATAGGGGCTACCATCGGATCAGCAAGTCTAAACATACAAACTGAGAATGGACACATGGGTATGCCAAGCAATATATGTTGTGTGGTAGTGGAGTACTGCCCCGGTGGTGCTCTCAAAACCTATCTCATCAAGAACAGACGAAGGAAGCTGGCCTTTAAAGTGGTCGTTCAAATTGCACTCGATCTCGCCAGAGGGTTATTCATTCTCTCCACTCTCTTTCAATACCCTTTTTGTTGGTGTTCTTATGTACTAAGCTTAACTTGGGAAACTTTCAGGTTGAGCTACCTACACACCATGAAGATCGTCCACAGGGATGTGAAAACGGAGAACATGCTCCTTGACAAGTCGAGGACCGTCAAGATAGCCGATTTCGGTGTTGCTCGCCTCGAGGCCTCGAACCCCAACGACATGACAGGAGAGACGGGGACACTGGGGTATATGGCACCAGAGGTTCTTAATGGCAATCCGTACAACAGGAAGTGTGACGTGTACAGCTATGGCATATGTCTATGGGAGATATATTGTTGTGACATGCCGTACCCTGACCTTAGTTTCTCGGAAATGACATCGGCTGTCGTTCGGCAGAACCTGAGGCCCGAGATACCGAGGTGTTGCCCTAGCTCGCTGGCAAACGTGATGAGGCGATGCTGGGATGCAAACCCTGACAAGAGGCCCGAGATGGAGGAGGTCGTTACGATGTTGGAAGCAATTGACACGTCGAGAGGTGGAGGGATGATACCTGGGGATCATCAGCCTCAGAGCTGCCTTTGCTTCCGCAGGCACCGAGGGCCATGAAAATGGAAATTGCTTCATCTCATTTGTGATGGTGACTGCTTTGGAATATACTGTAAAGTCCTTTTTTTCTAGCTCTGCTTCATAAAAACTCATGTAAGTTGTCAGTTGATGATTTCTACAACCTTTTCTTATCATATAAGTACACCTAGGTTTCTGCCTTAGACCTACTGACATTCATCAAGAATGCCTAACCAGACAAGAATCTCATGTCTAGAAAATTTGGTGTTTAGTTCCAACCATAACAGAAATCCTAGCCCAACAAGGATTCTATTTCATGAGAATTCGGTCTTTACTTTACAGAAGTTATTGTTACAGAAGAGCTTTGCTAAAAGCTAAGAGTAGTCTCAAAGAAACAGGTTACAACAAAGGGACGTACGACGAATCTCATTGCTTATGCTATGAAAGAATAATGTTCCTCAAAGTTGAACCGAAATGAATGCTGACGATATTACATTCTCAGGAAAAATATCATAACTCATAAGAGGATCTTCTCAAGCTCGAAAGTGCACTGTTACCTGTGAAGAGAACTCAGGGTATTTCTAAGAAGCTGAAAAGCGATAGAGGTCTATAGCTCTAGCCTGCAATCTTGTAGCTTGGATTGGCCAAATTTTCAAGGCCAGCAACCACTTGCATTGACTCGATTACATCACCAACTTTCACATCTGCTAAAAGGTCCTCATTCTGGGTTATGTAACCGAACACTGAGTATCGCCCATCCAATATGTTTGCATTGCTAGGAGTGAGTTCACTTTCTTTCAGCAGCCAAAAGATTTGGCTTGAAGCTGAGTTGTCTTCAAACTCCTGCGAACAAATGAATGTTAACCATTAGGGCATATAAAAGAGTTGAGGAACGATGCCTTCCATTCATATGAATTTGAGCTCCTCACATCTCTGGCCATTGCCATTGTTCCGAATGCATTGAATGGAAGCTTCGTTTGAGCCTTATATAAACCAAGCTCCTGCAACCAATACAATGGAAAAGAGCCTGACCGTAAGCCTTCTGTAAATTCAACTAAAGAGAAGGTTTGGGAGACAGATTCGAAAAAGTATGGCGTCAAGAACCCTTACTTCCAGAGTTGTACCATAGACAGGTGCTTTCTCTCCATCCACCATGATTTCTAGAGGAATAGTTCGAGTCTTCTCTGTACTAGGATCAATGAAACCCTCTGCAGGACCTTCAGGATCCCCAGTTTGAACAACAAAGCCGTCCGCTGGGATTATGATCGAAGGACATGTCAGTAAGATAGGCCCAGATATGTCTTCAAAACTGGAAAGAATGCAAAACTGTTGGTTTTGTATAAACTTTACCCCTCTGAATTTGCATGCCATCATAGAAGTGCCTCTGAACCAAGTCCACAAAATTTCCTGCTGTTACAGGCGCATTGTAACCATCTAGGACAATGCGGAACACACAGTCCTCGAGATTTGGGTTGTCCTTAACCTTGACCTTCATATCCACAGTTGCTCTACCTTTCAAGAGAGGCATATTTTTGTATTCTTCAGGCACTTCGTAGGGGAAGCCATTCACCATATCCTCTTCAACACTGCAGAGAAATCCAATGCCCCAGGAAGAAGATCTCAGCTGCAGTCAATGGACAAGGGTATCTATGAGTTCTTAGATGGACTCTAGGTTCTTTTTTTATCAGTCTTCGCTGCACAATATGAATTCGGTAGCTAATTCATGGACGTCATGATTAAACATGATCCAATCTATATACAATCTTCAACTCGCTCCTCTCTTGTCTACAAACTAGTTAACATTGCCACAAAATGCTGAAAGCAATCAACAATATTCCATAAGCACCTCAATTTTACTAGGCAGCTCATGCTATTTTGATCCATGAAAACTATTAGAGAGCCGAATCTTGAAACCAAAACACAATCAAATGTGCGAAACAAAACTCTCACCTTCCAACATAATCAAGTAGCTCCTTCTGTTTAGGCGCCACGCCATCTCGGTTCCTGCTCTCCACAATCTGCTGGAGTTCATCAAGCCCAGTTTCCAGCTTGTCAAGCACTTCCCCACCTTGAGCCCTCTTTGGCTCAGCTAATCCGGCAATTATCAAACTCTTCCCCTGCTTGAGAGCTCGAGATGCCTGCCTCACATTCTACATTTTCACAAACAAAAATACAATCAATCAACGAAGAGCACGAGGAAACAAAAAGCCACCATTAAAGGTTCTGCAGCTGCCTTACTCTCTCAACAGAATCAAGAGCTTTGAGCCCAGCAATCTTGAGACTGTCAGTGATATCTTCAAGCGGCTTCTGAACTTCCCTGATGGCCTTGTTATCAATTGGCAGCGCGTATCTCAACAATGCACCAGGATCCTTAATTGGCGGCCCGGATATCAACACGGCAACATCAGGCAATGCCGGATTGACAGCAACAGCATTCGCGTCGGGACACCAATCCGCCATCGAAGGCGCCCCAGTTATCAACCCGACCGCCAGAGCAAACGAAACTGCACACTCCTTGAAAGAGAACGACTTCCCCTCCCTCCCCTGAAACCAAAAGCCCCCACCACAAAAATCAAAACACCAATTAAACCCTTTGCCGCGAAGTTGAAAACTTTGAACTCCAAATTCGGAGTACTGCTCACCGTTGAATCAGAGCTCTTGAGTGAACAAACGGCCGGAGCTAGGCGCTTGCTGTAGAAGGAGAGTGAAGTGGTGCTGTGATTTGGAAGGAAGCGATTGTGGTGGGTTCTAGGTGTGGCGGGGAAAGATGAGGAATAGTGCCACCGGATTGACACTCCTGCTGCTGCAGCCGCCATGGGAAGTGGCAGTGGAGTACGAACAGAATGATGGGGGGGAACAGGAAGAGTCCAAAAGGGAAATGGAGCTAAAGAAGAAGCATTTGGTTTGGCGGATAGATCTGCGCAGAATAGAGGAAGAGAGAGAAAGTAGGAGATAAGGCAGTAATGGCTGCTTCGCTTGAAAATGAAGAATTAGAAGGCGGGGTCGGAAAGTAGCATCCTCCCCTCACAATTGGGATAAGGGAGCGGTCGAGCGGATAGCATTTTCCGGGTCGCCGTCAACATTTCCCCCCTCGGAGCCGCCGTTGCCGGTGGTAGGATGCGATAAGGGCTGGGCTCCCACTACGAATTGGGCCTGATAGGCCGGTAGATACCGTAGGCCTTACCAACCAAGAGGCAAACAAAATCCATATCATATACACTTTGACACAATCCTGAACCTCCGATCATTACCAATTTACCAGAGTCAACAAAATCAATCACATATATTGACAGCTAGCCTATAAGATCAATGTAACATCCGCATAGTTACAGCCGAATTAACCGTAAAAATTTATAAGAAGTCGAAAATCCACCAAAGTCAGTAACAAGTCATAAATGGACTGAATGAAACGAGGCAGTTCCGATGAGGATGACAACGATGGTTGACGTGTGATCGATCATGTTGGACTTCAAACGGTGGTAGTGACGTCAGATAGCTGGACCTCCGACTTGGGTTCCGCCGGCTTGGAAGTACCACCGTACTTGGTGGAGAAGTAGGCATAGAACACCAGCTGAACCACCGCAAAGATAGCTCCCAGCCCATTGCTCACCTGCAAAGCAATTGATCATCAATCGATGATTAATTAGCATGTGCTTCGAGTTCTGATTATAAACTAATCAATAACGACAATGTTAATAATCTACCGTAACGTACCACAATGAACCAGTCGATCCCGTGGATGAGAGCGTAGGCCGTCCAGATGCTACCGTTGGCGAAGTTGGCGACGGAGAGCCAGAGCGGCATGAACTCGACGCTCTTGGTCTTGTAGACCTTGGCCATGACGGCGAGCGGGGAGGCGTACATGATGATGTTGAAGACGTCGGCGACGATCCCGACGGTGATGTTGCGGGAGTGCTGGGTGTGGAAGCCGGCGAGGGCGACGGCGATGATGACGCCGAAGAGCAGGACCTCGCCGAGTAGGCCGAGGAAGACCTTCTTGCGGCCCTTGTTGTGGCGGTCGTAGAAGACGAAGATGGAGAGGTAGATGAGCTCGAGGGCGAGGCCGATGGAGTTGATGGTTACGACCAGGACGCTGTTCGGGGTGATGACGGGGGTGCCGTAGAAGACCCACACCAGGCAGTTCATCACGGCGGCGATGTACGGGTACGGCTGGAACTCCTCCACGTCCTTCTTCTTGCATATCCTCCAGAACGTCGGCCTGTGAATCCATCCACCCGTTAACGTTTGAATTCGCGATTAACTAATTAATTAATGAATCGGGACAGATAGATTAAGGGAGAGTAAAAGGAATGATTACGTACACAGGGGAGAGGAAGAGTCCAAAAGAGATGACGTTTCCTGCGCAATTAACCGGACAGAATAAGACAAACGAGTCCAGATTGAGTCATATAGAGATAAAAACTCTAATTGACAATAGCGGCTGAAACGCTGCGTTTGGAAGGAAACCGGAGCACCAAAATCAGATTAGGAGCAGCCAAACAGGCGGAGGAAAATTCGATCGCGGATTTTCTCGGTAGCCAAACAGATCGACACAAGTAAAAGAAAACTACTACAACTGAAACCACAAAATTAGGCTAATGGCATCGCTAAGAGAGGTGAGAAATCAAGTAACTGACTCTCTGAACAACGTAACAACGGAATCGCTGCAGGAAAACAGCAGGAAAATTAGAGAGGCCGGATTTTCAATACTCGTTTACTGATAACAAGACTACGCACTAGTTTTCGCAAGAAAAGAACGGAATCGCATCAATCAAAACAACTTCGGGGCAATCGATCGGAAGGAGCAGTATTCTAATAATCAATGTAGAGAGAGACGGAACGAATCGATCAGCAGAAAATAGCAGGGCTAACTGTTCGATCGAAGAAGAAAAGAGAAGGAGAACGGAATCGGAGAACAGTTGATTAACTTACCGATAATGCCGACGACTGTACGAGCAAGCTCTGCGTTCACCATCGTGATCTTCTTCTCCTTCTTTCTTCTTCGCGAGTCAGTCTACAAAGGCAAAAGGCGGTGCTAGCTAGCTAGAGAGAGAAGTAACAATAAATCTGGGATTGTACGGGGGAAGAGCAATATTTGCAGGCAAA